AGGCAAGTTTATGGATTTTTGTATTACATGACTAAAACAACTAAAACCAATCCATTTTCAAAGGCAATGTGAGTTATTTCTGAAATTCCCCCTAGTAAATTATACTTTTATAGTTCCATGTTTGCCATTGTAGTATCACATAGAGAATATGAAGAATCCGTTGTTTTACTTAGAATCTAAATTAATAGAAGAGAATGATTGCTATCAAACTTCAGCAGTTATTGTTCAATGAACTCAGTCCTGCTCCAGTTAGAATCTGGAAAAGACATTTTAAAGATATAATCTCATGAAAATATGTAAGGCCAAGATATCTGGGAAAATGCATCTCTGGAAAGATACAAAGGGGGTTTTTTCCACATGAAAAAAAAAAACTCCCAAGAGAGATAATAAGATCATAGATTCTTATGCTGTAATTTTATCATTTTTTTCCCAGTCAGCTAACCCCCAAAATTTTTATACATATAGATAGGTTCATCACTGTATTTTTATAACTAGGTTTATGAGAGAAGAAAATCAGCCCTGAAAACTGTATGTCAAAACAGTTTCACAACAGACTTTTCTGTGTGGAATTTCTATAAAACCCTGATGAGAAATACCCCCTCATGCCTCCTGCAAAAGGCAGTATTTCCATTTTGTGCCTGTTTCTCTGCATGTTAAGTAGTAAAATAAAACTACTAATGATTGCTACTAAATTACAAATTCCTAAAGATATGTTAAATCTTATTTATATTACACCACAGCTCTGCATTACTGTTTGCACCATAGCACAACACTTTAAAAAGCGCAGCATTACTTAAAGCACCTGCAAATCAACAGAACTTACAACCATTTAAACCAAAACTTATGAACTCCTCTTCTTGGAATACATGAACTTGTTGCTAAAATAAGACTTAAGTTGGAGAGAGGTGGCCTCAAAAATCAGAAGGAAAAGCTGAAGGCTTCTGCTCAACAGTAAACTATAAGATCACCTGTACAAGGTGCATGCTACTTTTTTTGATTGTTTAATGCTGTATTCACTAACTTCAGCAGAATGGTAGGCCTATTATGGAAATTAAAAACACACAAGTATTTCTATAATGACATTTCATATATAATCTATATGACAACGCTCTAGACTAGGTTGCTTTTTCACAAGGCAACTACAAAGGAATTACAAAGCATACTACTGGCAAAAAGTACAGGAAAAACAGACTTGATGTTTTAAGTGAAACCAAGCTGGAATCAGTAAGAAGGAGAAATTTCAATTTCAGCTGATTGGCTCAGTTTCCAAACAGAAGTGGAGCTGACTTGGAGCTGGGGGAGCTTTGAGAAGCTTCTCACAGGGGCTGCCCCTATAGCCCCCTCCCCTGCTACCAAAAATCGCACCACTCAAACCCAGGACAAAGATCTATTAAATTAGGTGCCTGAAGAAGTTGTGAAATCAACAGTTACCTAATAATCAAGAAGGCCAGTTGTAACAGGAGATCATTTTTTCTAAGAAGTTTTTCTTTTAACTTATTCATAAGTTAACAATAAAGAAAACCTCCTCCAGGTGCACCAAAGAAAACTATATGCTCCTACTTAAATTGTGCCTACACACAGTTAAATCTCTGTCAAAAGATCTCTTTAACGTAACAGGAAACTTCTTGTATGCATAAGTGAAGCCTTTCAAGAGGTAATGTATTTATTTATTTAGTAATGTGTTTAGTACATTAGTTGATTTGAAAAAAAATATAGTCCCTCAGTGCAGAGACTAGTTGTAGGACAAGGCTGAAGTAGGCATGATGGCCATACAAATGTGATGCTAGCACCTAACTAAATGGGACCATATAATCTGTGCTCTTCTGGGGTAGTACCAAAGTTTTACATATTTAGAAAGAGAAGGAAACGGTGCGAAAAACAATACAAAAAGGCTGCTGAGGATTTGGTATCAGTTCTAGCAGTATCAGCACTTACTGCATTCACAATAGTCAACTGCTGCTTCATGGAGCACAGTATTACAGCTCTGCATACTACTTTGGAAAGTAGCACTCTTCAGAGTGAACGTAGCAAAACCACATTAAATTGAAGTCTGACCTTATCTTGGGACCACTCCAATTAAAATGCAAAACGTTTGCATACTACATTAAGCGTATTTGTTCTACCTTCAATTTATATGGAATCTCATCAGGTATTTATAAACATTGCATTTATACAGTAACTTCTTAGATACTGGATTGTACATAAACTAGTATTTTGTAACTTTTGTAATACAGAAGTTTAATTCCACTTGAAAAATCATGCACATACTGTAGTTTCATATATCTTGCATTTAGGCAACTTTAAAAGATTATAGTATTTTCTAACTGCATTAAGGCAGCTTCACCATCTCTTCTCTAAACATGGTCAGGAAGGATATGTTCCAAAACTTATTTCCACTGGAGCACTGCTGCATAATCCACATTCTTGCCCCAACAGAATTGATCCTCCAAAATTATATGTAAATGAAAAATCCTAGATCACTTAAACAGATAAAACATGGTAAATCATGCCCGTTGTTCTCCAGGGCTTGTAAATTATTAAATATTCAAAGATCAAACCAAAAGATTTCAGCACTGAAATGAGCTAATTACCCCAGTGTTTGATTACATATTATAAATAAATAAATAGATAAATAAATAAATAAATGCCTTGCACAAGTATTTTACACTCCACTCATTTTAAAGCTGAGTAGGAGTAGAAAGTGTGCTTTAATGAGTCAAAAGTTCTCTGCTTAGGAAACATACAATTGTGCTACTTGCCATAACAAGTACACTGTCCTTGTAGCATCTACACTGGAGTCTGTACAGTATAAATTCAGAATTTCTATTTTGTGGAGAAAAATCCAGACATTTCCCCAATTGTCCTAACACAGGAACTAAGGCAGTATTCTGTGGAAGGCACGGTCACGAAACTAAAGGATTTGAAATGAACAAAAGGAGAAATATTTCTTACTGCACCAGACCAGACCTTATTTTCCTAAGGCTAAAAGACACTACAGGACACAGCACTTTAAAGCTTCACATAGAATACAATAAGCATTGTGTCAAGCACAATAACATTTGAACTAGAAAGTTTTTAAAGTCAGGAGAACTTTCAATTTAAGTAGTCATTACTTGAGATAGAAATATTGCTTCTCCTTGAAGAGGGAGAGAATTGTTAAAACATGTAGACACAGGGTCTAAGTCTAGCAAGGACTCACAAGTACACTTCACCAAAATAATGGGATTACTCCCTTCAGAATCAAGGTCTAAATTACTTCTCAGGAATGATATTTCTTCTCCAGCAGTCTCTCTTTGACAACTTAAGAAGAAAGTTGTAATTGTTCATTAAGCAGTTGATTTCCAGTGCTAGTCCAGGTCAAAAAAGTACCCATGTAGTATCCGAACCTGTCATTACAATTTGTGCACACTATCTTATAGGTCCAGGTTTGTAATAGTAAATTTTTATTAAGCTTATATTTTTACTACTTTAAACAAGCTCAAACTTCCTGTTTTATGGATAAAGCATTTTAGCAAAGAGAAATACGTAAAAGTACAATTAAATGAAACTTTTTTTTCTCTGGAAAGAAAAATGCACCGTTGAGTTTTTAACTATATATATACACATATTTTCTATTTATCCTATCATCTCACATTCTGTGGGCATGGATACAGGAATTTATTGAATTTAATACAAAGTTACATAAGATGCTACACTTGTATCCATCTACTCACTAGAACAGAGATGTGTCCAGAAATACATGCACTGTATGAAAAAAGTCTCAAAAAGTAACTGCTTTATGTAAATGCAATGCTGTAAATAAACTATATACAGCTGATGCATGAACAAGTACAATTAACAGTCAATCCTATTGTTGGCCAAACAAAATCTTCACAATTTGACCTACCCCAGGTAAAGAGATAAACTTCGGGTTTAGACTTCAGGTTAGCATCAGTTAGATTTCTTATAAATGAAGGAGCTCATTGTAACACCTGTTCCCTGTCCACATAAAGAGAAATACAGCTACCCTGCACCCCACAAAAACTAGCATACCATGTCAATGTGGCAGATATTTATAAGGATCAAAATGATGCTTTCCCTTGAACATATGTTGCAACACAAGAAGCTCTAAATTACTTCTCAGCTCTACCTGAATGAGAGCTCTGGGTAACAGGTAAGAGAGATCCAAAGTAACTTAAAGACAAGAAATAGATGGCAGAGTTACAGGAGAGGAGGGCAAGGCGAGTCTAGAAATGCTCATGGCAATTCCCAGTTCTCACTTTATGCTCTTCAAAGCATGAGGACCGTTTTAACACCCCAGAGGAAGCTGTCAGTGCTGAACTTACTTTCGTGCTTTAAAAGCATGAAACTGTTCATCTTCATCTCTCAGAATCTTTCAAAATACATAAAAGTTAATCTATTACTTGAAGATGGGGCGGAGGAGGGGGGAAGGGGGGAAAGGGGTTGAAAATGCGGTGTGGCGGGGGTGCGTGAGATATAAACTCTCTTCATGAAATATGAAGTCTCTCCATATAAATTCACTTCAGCGTCTTGCTTTGCCCATTTATTCCGGCCACCTCCATCACCCAAATATACCTCATTAGCAGCCAACGTCCCAGAACCAGAACCCCCGGCACCACTACACGCCCGGTCCGTACAGCGACCTACACCGCGACTTTCAGTCCCCCCAACCCCTACCCTGGGCTCCTCCCCGCCGTGCCCCGGCCGGCCCGCCTCGGCCGGCCCGCCGGCCCCGCTGTCCCCGCCGGGGAGGGCGCGGCCGGGCCCCCGGGCCGGGGCAGGGCCCCGTACCGCCCCCGCTCCCCGGGGAAACCCACCCAGCGCCGCCGCGGGCAAGGCGAGGCGAGGCAAAGCGGAGGGGAGGGAGCGAGGGAGAAAGTTTACGAGGCGCGTTTCGGCGGCTGCCGGCAGGGGAGCCCGCTCCCGGCGCCCATTCAAACAAAAGAAGTCCCTTCTCCTGCCCGCCGCCCCCGGCTCCCCGGCCCCGCCGCCCCACTCACTCCGCAGAGCCCCGATGAGAAGGCTGCCGTCCTTGATCAGCTCCTTGATGAACTTGTTCGTCCGCTCCAGCTCGATCTCGTGACACTTCAGGCGCTCCCTGAAATCCGGGCTGTCCAAGTAGGAGTCGCTGAACTCCAGCGTGGGCAGCCCCATGGCAGCGGCGGCGGCCGCTGCCCCCCGACCGGCGGCGGAGGGGCGGGCGGCTGAGGGAGGGCCGCGCCGAGAGACGGCGCTGAGGGCAGAGTGGGGGGACGGAGAGGCGAGGCGGAGCGCGGCTGCCGCCCCCTCCGCCTCCCCGGAGAGGCTCCCGACCCGCCGCACCGGCCCCCTCAGCGCCCGCCGCACCGGCGGCGAGGCAGGCTGCCCTTGGCGGCGGAGGCGGCGCGCTCCGGCGGCTGTCACCCAGCTACATGCTGACCGCGGGGCACCGCGGGCTCCCAGCGCCGCCGCTCCGCTGCTTCCGGCAGCGCTCCCTCTTCCTCTCTCCCTCGCTTCAGTGTGAACCTCCCCCGGCCCGGCCGAGAAGCCCTCCTCCCGGCGCGGCATGCTCACACGCCGGGGATGCGGCCCCGGCAGTGCCCGCCCCTCGCCGGCCGCCGCGCTCTGCCCTCCAGCGGCGGCGCGGGCGGGCCCGCCCCGGCCTCGCCTCGGCCTGGCCCGGCTCGGGGCGAGGCGGCGGGGCGCGGAAGGCTCGCGCGGCGTTGCGAGGGCCAGCGCTCGCCTCCTCCTTCAGCTGGGGCTTCGGGAGGCCCCCAGGAAGGCCGGGAAGAAGGATCCACCCCAGGGACAGGGAGGCTTGAGGTGGTATTTAAAACCGTGCGCTCGGAGGAGGCCGGTTTGTGTCAGAAGAGCAGCCCCCCCCTTCGCTGGGAGAAGGCGGCCGCCGGCCGGGTGCCACAGCTGGGCGAGCGGCCGGTGCTTGGGCCTGCGGCTGGCAGCCGAGCGCGCCTGCCCCGCCGAGGGATCTGCCCCGGCCCCCAGCGCGGCCCTGGGCGCCTGCCCGGTGTGCGGGTGCGGGCCCGCGGCCGGGCCGCGCCCCGAGGGAGCGGGGTGGCGAGAGGAGAGGGCGGCGAAGCACGGCGGGGGAGAGCGGGAGGCCGGGGAAATGGAAAAGAGAGGAACGTCCATGTTCTGCCGTGCCACTTCGTTGCTACGAGGGGATACAGCCGAGCCACACCCATCCTGAAGAGGAGCATCAAGAAACTGCAAGCCTGGTTACTACAGCAGAGTTGTGTTTTCCAAGCACATGAGTGGTCTTGCCTCCTGTATGTTTATCTGGAGTGTTTTTTCCAGACATACTGTGTCAGTATGCAAGTATGTATACAAATCTACATCCGGGGTTTGAGGAGAGCTGTCTGTAAACCTTCAAGTCAGCAATAACTCCGTTGGAAACAACCAGCAAGACTGGTCGTAAATAATTGCACTTCAGAACAGCCCACCTCTTGCCAAAAATAACGTTCAAGGACATGGTGATGCTTCTCTGTTAGATGTGTACATGCTCCTACCAAATTATTCATAGTCTTCCTGTTCACACAGCTTAACGCAAAAGCGGGGGAAGGCTCACAGCCGCTGCATTTTGTAGTTCCTTGACACAACTTGTGCTCCTCACACTTCTTGACCATTCATCAAAACTCACTTCTTTGTATTCACAGTAGATTTTTGTGCGTATCAGAAATGCAGGAAAGGTGCTTCAATTTCTAACCGTATAGCTTGAAGAATTTGTTGAAATGAAAAAAAAAAATAGTAATTACCTGGTTTTACAAGGCTGAGATTCCCTGCCCACAGGACAATCTCTGAGCTAGCTGTCAAAATGATAATAGACCCATTGAAGATTCTTAATTCACAGTGATCAAAAAACTCTGCTTATCAACATGTTGTCTGAGACAAATTATTTTTTTTTAATAATAGGAAGAATAAGACTGGAAAGAACTGTTGGGTTAAGAAATTAATTTCCTTTTTAAGACAGTAGCATGTAATCTCACTTGTAAACTATTAAACTTCATTTAAAATCTAGTTGAACTATTGGAAGAATGTTCCAAATATAATTTTTCTGTTTATTAAAAACCTAATATTCAGCCTATATACATTCAGAGAGTCATTTTAGACACACCTGTTCTTCCTTCAGCATCATCTGTAGCTGAAAAGATTCTTTGTCTTCTACCATGTTTATTCTTTGATGAAGTTCTAGCATGCAATAATGTTATCTCTAAGCCTTCCATACAAGAGCTAAATGAATCAAAGCTTTCTGTCATAAAATACTAATGTCCTTCATCAATCTCGTAGTTCTTGTCTATATCTCTTTAAGTTTGATTTCATCTTTGATCACATTTTACTGAAATTATATGCAAGGCCTTGTTCAGCCACATTAATGGTTACACTACTGCACTAAACACCTTTGATGAAGATTGTATTTGTCTATTTCATGGCAAAATTATTTTTGTGACGTCAGTAAGTAACTTAGATTTTATTTTTCCTCTATTTTCTTCCAGTAGACTCCAAAGTTAGAGCAGAAATATCTCTTGATCCCAAAAGCATATACTTAGCATTTTAGTTCAGAGCAATTAATCTGGTACTCAGGATGATTCTTTTTTTTACTATATAATGTTCTCATCTTCAGAAGTTCCATAACCACATTGCTGCTTTTGGTATCAGGATCATGAATGGAAATATTAATGAGACCAATATTAATAGTGCACTCAGCAATATTTCTTAAGAACTTTCCTCCAGCCTGACATGCTCCCTCCAAGTAACTTCCCATTATCCATGTAACTGGTTCTGTATGTTTCTTGGAATAATCCACATCTTTCTTAGCTGAACTGAGAATATCCTAGCATACAGTGTACCAAATAGCATGGAAAAATCCTTCTAGTTCACATGTATTGCCTTCTCCTTTTCTCAGAAAAAGCTTTTATTTTTAAAGAAATAGATTTGTTAAGAATGATCTTCATTTCATAAAGCAACATGTGATCAGATGTACATCCAAACCCACATTATCTTCTGCTGGCACATAAAAGGTTAATAGTTGACCTCAGCTTAATGAGCATTTAGGTTGCATCTGGAGGAGGATCTGGTGAGTGATTTGGCACACCTGCAGAGACGTTAACTAACAAAAAAATCTTGATGAAATGATAAGTCTTAGTATATGATTTGTGTTGGAGTTAGGTGGAACCCAGTATTTTTTTTGCTTTCTAAAGAAAACAAGGTATTTGAAGGTATATTTGGGAAGTGTAAAAGGTGTAAGCTTCATAGTGAGAAGGAAATAACCAGATTTATCTCTTGGTTCTGTTGTTTTTGTTTTTTTTTTTTTTTTTATTTTCCCTGAGAAGATTCCAGTACAGGGCCGTAGTAGAAACATTAGGTTTCAAGACTTCAAAAGATGGGAGAAACTGAGGAGAAGTCTGAACATACTGAAAATCATCTTTGTTGAAAACTAACAGTATGCTAGAAGAGGGTGAGCTATACTGAATGACAACTCATTTAGACACCTAAGTAGGTAGAAGCACCAGTCCCTTAAGTAGAAGGCTCTAACGGATGAGTTAGCCTGATGTTATGACCAGCTATGAAGAGGTGAATGAAAACTGAGATACATTTTTTTTTTTTCTGAAGCACGGGGAGGTTTGTCCTGTTTCATCCACTTCTATGTTTGTTATTCTGAGCTTATCCTAAAATCTTACGTGTTAATGAGGTCACATCAATTACTGTAGATTTTTCCTTCATCTGAAATGTAAACACTGAACTGTAACTTCCAATCAGTTGCCCTTCTCTGACTAAAGGATGCCTGGGGCATATTCTTATCACAGTCCTATCAGCTAGGTTGCCTGGGAGGAGAAAAGGATAGGTGTGTATTGGGAGGAGGAAAGGATAGGTGTATATTGGTACTGCTTACTATAGTGTAGGTCCCCTACTCCTACAGTGAGGACATGCCTGTATGTGCAGTCCTCCATGTTGTGTCTCTACCTAGCTCTATGAGATGCTGTTAATTTAGCAGTTAATACAGACAAGGACCATGAGTGTCTCTTACCTAGAGAGGAATATTTTAGAGTAGAGACTGCCAACTTGCATGTTATTTCTTCTGCCTCAATGTACACAATTATGGGAAAATTACTGCTAGAGCTCTATGACATTGCTCTGTCTTCTGAAAACTGCTTCTTTCATTTGAGAGAGTGGGATTATAGGCAAAAGAATGCAAGGACACTGATGCTTTTAAATCCACCTGAATTGCTTGAGTGTACAAGATTATCTCTGTACCTATACAGCAGAGAAAATACTAATAGCATAGAAAACACCACTCAAGCAACTATTTATGGAGTGTTTTAATTCATTTTAACTTCTCTAAAGATCTTGTTTTGTCTAAGTTTCGCATTGGTTTCTTTATGGGAATCGTCAAGATTCCCAGTAACTTGCTAGGATAAGTGCTATTAAAAGTTTTCAGTTTCTTCTTATTAAATTAGGATTCTAGATGCTAAGTTTACGTTGGCTAGCAGTGCTAAACTAAAAAACAAAACAAAACAAAACAAAAGAAATAAAAACCAGGGAGGTTTAGGTTTTGTAATTGATTATGTGTATAAACTGAAAGTGATACTACTCTCTGGAATACAATCTCTGTTGTTAACTGATTGTGAAATGATATAGCTGCCAGTGGGTTCTGTTTTGTTGTTTTGGCTTTTTTTACTGCAAGTTAACATTGTCAGAGGAGGAGAGTAGCTAGCCAAAATCATAGTTTAGAAGCCAAACCATGTAATTTAGTATGCATAGATTGTGTAATCCTCAGATACTGGTCTCTGTGCACAAAGGTCCACTCGTATGTGCATTCCTATCAGTGTTTCAGATTGTAATCAATAATTACAGATCAATAATATTTATTGAAAAAACAGTAGTCTTTTTAATACATGAGCTAGCTCCAGGTGGTTTGGAGAAGCTTCAAACAGCGAAGTTCAAAGCTGAAATTAAAAATCATGTTTAGTAACTCTTATGCTGTTTGCTTAAGCCTCCTGAGTACTTCTCTGTTGAATCTGAGTATTTCTTAACTGGCTGTAGTTCTACCTTCTGGTATGCTCAAAATAGCATTTACCTGAAGAAGTAGGTGCCTAAAATCACATGAGTTACAGACACTTAGACAAGCAGCTCCTGAATCCTAAATGGGATTGATACAGTACAAATGACTGAGCAGATGAAGGCTGAAGCAGTAGATGTGACAGCTTAAAAATCACGGCAAGGTAATGAGGACTGCCAGTTTAATTCATATATATCTTAGTAGATAAAGCATTTGCCTACAAAGTGGAGAAGCTAGATGTTAGGTACCTGCAGTCTTGATTCACAGTGTCCATCTCTAGAAGGGTGAAACTTCAGACAATGCCTTATATCACATTTCTTCTTGACAGCTTTATGGAGCTCTGCTCAGCATGAAAAGTCTCTGGATCACTCTCCATGTCTGTATTATATAGAGAAGTACCCCCATGCTTTAGTTTTTACTCTAGAAGCCAAACATCTGAGAGGTAGTAGAT